CAATTTATCTAGAAAATACAACGGCTTCGTTCAGAGCCCGGACCATTTTCCAAAATATCCCGGATATTTCGATAATTGCACTCCAAACCATATTTCCGAAAGATTCCGGATATTTCAACAACAACATTTCCCGAAATATTTAGAATATTTCGGGAAAACGGTTCCCAACATATTCGGAATATTTCGAGAAAATGGTGGGTGGCTAAACAATTCAAATCTATCTAATTATTTAATATTTCTATATATATATATATATATATATTCATCTATAAAAAAACAAACATGTTTCAATATTTCACACGTAATATAATAATTCAAATTCCGATATATCATTTCCCTAAAAGGTATATTACGCAAAATTAAAGCCTAATTCATATCTATCTATGGATGCAATTTAAAATTTATCTAGACTCCACACATGCTCTGATTTCGTTTTTGCGGTAAATCCATGCCCAATCCCGCAAGTAGCCTGCTGCGATCTTTCGTCAGTCGGCCTTCTTCAGCCTGAAAAGTCAGCTGGCACTGGCCGCAGTTGGGTGCTGTTGTTGGACTTCAAGCACGGAGAAAGAGAGTGCTCGGACTTGAAAAAAGACTTGTTGGGGGGGTTGGGATCACATGGCCCCCCTGAACTTTGAACTTCCCCCCCCCCCAAAGTTTTAACACTCACTGCCTCACCATAAAAGCAGGCAGAAAACCTTAAAATTTAACTTCATATCACAAAGATGTATCTAAACTGGTAGGGAGAACCCTATGTACTGCTGACTCCTCTTGGAAACCTCAATTGAACTCTGCACAATGCTACGTATCAGCTTGAATGAAGTACAAGCGCAAACAGCAAAACTTGCGAAAAGCCCTGCTCAGTCCGCTTTAGGAAACGAAGCTTTGAGCTTCTTGGACAACCTTGCCAGGCCAAGTCTGAATTGTTTCTCTCCCCCCAACATAGACATGGTATGTTTGGTTGATGCCCCTTTGAGTGAGTCAATCAGGCCAACCCAAAGGCAACCATGCTCTCTCCCATCCACCAATGAATTCATCTAGAGTGGCAAAATCTCTAATCGGGGCCGTTTGGAGGGCTTCCGGAAACAAGCTTCTCCGTGATTTAAGGCTTTGGCTCTTGGGGCAATGCTGAAAATCTGGGCACCCAAGAAACACCGGAAGAATCTCAGTGGATCGTACCACCATGGATACTCTCAGCACTTGCAATACCTGGATTCAATTAAGGGCTCTCTTTGGTTTCACCAACCAACCTACGAGAGCCGACATGCAGTGTGACTAGACATCGAAGGACCGTTGGGTCCGAGTGGCTCGTGGACCTTGCTCTTGTACTTTAAAATGGAAAGTGCAACGCTGACCCATCTGCAAGGATGTCCTTGTCTTTCTTCGAGAAACCAAAGCGAACCAGCTTGCGGGTTCGCATATTCAAGAGACAACCCCATATCCGAAAAGCACGTCCTTACATGTTCTGCAAAACACAGAATTCTCCCCGCAAACGGTTACCTTGATGTTTCTTTCGGACGCTGAGAAGGCAGGCAAGCCTTTCGCTGATCCGTTTGAAACCAAAAGTTGGAAAAATCAAAAGGCATCGTGTTTGAAGGTCTTTGGAAGAACAACGTAAAGTCCCGCTGAGCTTGAGCAAGGGAGCGTGCTCCGGTCTTGAAAGGACCGCCGTGAGCGGTGAAGTTGAGATTTCCCAAATCGGAAAAAGGGAACCACCAAGTAAACCTGGCCCAAATCTGGGGCACGCAGAAAAAAGGCATGTTCAAATTCCGGTGCCCTTTTCTCAGTTTACCCTAAAATATCAAAGGATATCAAAGAAGCTCAGCGCAGGACTTTCATTTTGTCACTCGAAAGCGCTCGAAACCCAGTGGGTCACTCGGAATGGCCTGGACCTTCTGGTAGCGGAGCCAGGAGCCGAGATTCTCGCCCCTGGGCCAGGAGTCAACCAAAGCTCAGGACCCGTGTGGAACACCTGGATAGAAACAACATCATGTCGCTCCATCGGATTTTGCTTGAACAAATCACAAAGGGCTGAGATGGTTGAAATGCTGGTCATAGCAACATGCTACTCATTGCTATGCGGCTATTCCCCCCCCTTCTTCTCCCCGTTTTGGAGGGGGCAATGCCGGTCCCAAACAGTTCAAGGCTGAAGGGTCCGGCCTCAGGACCTCAGCTGGCCGGCGGGTGCGGAAAAGGTTGGGGAAGCCTAGACCCACTTCTCCTGGACAAGTTTGGGGCTCCTTGTTTGGGGTGCTTGAGAACCCTGTGTGTTGGCTGCTTTCGAAGGGCGTGTGGCTGTCTTGGGGTTGCTGCAACGGGAAAGGGCGGCCTGTGATAGCATGATAAGTACGCAGCGGCCCACATTGCATTGGAGACAACGCCAAACAAGACGGAAAGTGTACCACCCCATCTGAAAAAGAATCGAACAACATGAAGGGCCACACATTCTTTTTCTAGCCAGGTCATGTTAGAAGGGCTCGTCTCAGGCTCTGAACATGGAGCCATTTTATTTTTCCAGTGGTTTCCCTCGACAACAACCACAGGTGCCCACTCCAAAAAGCATGAGGCACGCATCCAACAGGCCAACACTGAAATTATTACAGTACTCAATGGAACCCGAAAAAAACAATACTGGGAACGTGACCTGGGATGTCTTGCGCTGAGGTGCGGTTCCCTGCAAATGCCGCTCTTTACAGGGGAAGCCAAAAAGAAACATCACCCTTGGGGGTTCACCCCTTTGTTTGGGCTACCCTTTTCAGGTTGGTTCAACGTGACGCCAAAAAGTCAGAACGCCATGTTTGAGGCACCCAGCAATTGCAACACATTTATCCGAGCGGACCCGCGCCGCGCCGAAAAAAAAGAGAGCCGAGGCTCGGTGTGTCAGGAACCTCCCAGTGCCCCTCGCGGCGATGAAAGGCTTGGAGCCCTCGGAAGCCCCGCTGCCAGTGCGCCTCAGAGCCCACCCCGCCCACGCACCCCTGGAAACCCAAAGCGCCCTCTGTTTCGGGAATTGGGCACCTTTTGCGTGGGTTAAGATAAACCCGAGAACATGCACTGGCTATAGAATCCGGCGCCAAGGAGCTTTGATTACACTCCTTTAATGGGGAGGGAAAAAATGCTTAGTAAAAACTTGTGCATCCCTAAGGTGTGTTGAGAGTATCGTCTATGGCGTTTGTTTGAGGGGTGACACTTTTTTCTTTTCTGCTTTTAAACGGGGTGTTCAGCCCACTTTGTACGGGTTTTCAAGGTTCCGTTTGGACAACTCATTTTTATCTCTTCTTTTAGCGGCTGCATCTCCCATGGAAACCAGCGAAACTCTGCAGGAAGTGTTTCAACCCGCAAAAAAAAACAAAAAACGAGCACCCATAGTTGACCGACCTCCCGGTTGCACTTTCCGCCTGTTTTCGAATCTCCCTCTTGGCCCCCGAGAAAAACCGCGGCGAGCCTCGTCCAGGTCCATCTCCACGTTGAGGCGCAACAGCTGCGCCTTCTGCGCCTATAATATGGGGCCCGTCCTTTTTGGGCGCGCTCTTTTTTGGGGCTGGTTTGAAGGGGGACGAACGGAGAACCACCTAGTTTCTTTAAGGGGTCCCCTTGTTGGTTTGGAAGGGAAGCCAAGAGGAAGCTGTTTTCTTAAAGGGGTCCCCTTTTTTGCGTTGGTATTGTGAGGAAGCCAAAAGGAAGCCAGCCAATTTGGCAATTGGGTAGGCACCCTAGTTCTCATGAGAAAATGGGGGACATTCAGTCAGGCCCTCCATGTCCCCCAAAATTGGCAACAGACTACCAATAATATCTTCCGTTCCTCCGATTTGGGTGTTTCTCAGCATGTACCCTGCTGGTATTTTGGAGGGCCAGAAGGAAATCCAGTTTCGGGAAAAAAAGGAAGAAGAAACAAAAAACCCATAGCGTGAAACTTGAGAGGGAACTCTTTCCACTCGCTTGTGACGTGGTTCCCCATTAAAACATAATATACAACTCAACTCTTGCCCTCCCCAATCTGTTCTGGGATCCTTCTCTTCGAAAAATGGCCCAAAACCCTGGGACGTGAAGAGAATGGGGAATCAACCCTTAGACTCTAAGAAACCAGCAAATTCGGTGTGCACTTGGCAAATGTCCTGTAGAAACTATTGTAGCTGGTCTCTATAAAACAACCACTCCTCCTCAAAAGACCGCTAAGAACCAGTCCACAAAGAAAAACAAACCAAGAAGAGAACGGCAGTGCTTTCTGGCAGGTTTCTTCGTTTCGTTCGCACAGAAAGAGAAATGCCCGGGTCTTCGTCCCAGCACTCCCCTGGCATTCGACTGATCCTCCGTAGACATCCAAAAATCCGCCCACCCGAAGAGCCAGACACTTTTCACTTTGAAACAACCAACCAACCCAAACACGGGGGTTTGATATCACAGAGGGCAAGGGAAAGCCGCAATGGAAGACCCCAAGCAGGTTCCCCAGGTACTTGGATGTTAGGCCAAGCTAGTAAGTAGATTATGACTTAGGCCGAACAGGCTTCACTGTTCGGGAAATGTTCGGCCTCTAGTACAACATAGTCCCTGCAAAAGTAACTAACATCCAACTCGGATGAGTTGAAACTCCAGACTGCCATTGGAAAACAAGGCACTGGCTGGAGGTCTGGGGTCTGGGAATCATATCACACCTTTACTTTGATTCAAGCCCACCCCCCCTGCCCCACCCCCCCATGGGACAGGGATGAGGTGCTGAACCTCAACCCATTTCCACAGATCAGACACCACAATTTTACGGGACATTGTGAAGGTTTTTGTTGAGAATCATGGGAAACTCAACTCCTAGAGGCTGAAACCCCTAAAAACAAGCATATGTCATGCTTCTTTTGATGAAACTGGGAGCACCTGCCATGTTTGAAGGGGCTTCTCTATTCTATAAATCCACATTTCACACCCACATTCGCGTGGCGTGTAGAGGTGTAGGGGATTTTACGCCGCCTCCTCACCGCCGCAACAATTGGCGAAAACGACGCGCGTGGCGC